TTTTGCGGATTTAAAGTCCTTTTTTTTTTTTTTTAACCTGCTTATGTTAATTGGTCGCTACTTCGCGGACTTTCGTTTATCGCGGGTGGTTTTGGTCCCCATTAACCGCGATAAACAAGGGATTACTGTATTCCGGTTTCCTCCCACATTCCACAAACATGCATGGCAGGCTGATTGGACACTCTAAATTGTTCCTAGGTGTGAGGGTGAGCGCGTGTTCGTCTCTGTGTGCCCTGCGATTGGCTGGCAACCGGTTCAGGGTGTCCCCCGCCTACTGCCCGAAGACAGCTGGGATAGGCTCCAGCACCCCCCGCGACCCTTGTGAGGATAAAGCGGATCGGAAAATGGATGGATTGATGAAGGGTTTTATATTGGAAAAATTCATAAAAATAGAATAATGCAGCAAGTACTTAAAATACGACTGAGTTTATTTATTTAGTGGTGTTTTTTAATCGAAAAAAATATATAATTTGAAAGAAAAATAAATGACAAACACAAAAGATGTATTTGAGGGGAACGCAAGGAAAATGTATCTAATCTAAGCAGTCAACAAAAACATATGCCATATATGTGCATATATGCATGTGCTGTGTATGCTAAGCTAAATATTAGCTGTCCATTTGCATTTGTTTTGACCCGCCTGTTGAGTTCCAGTTTATCTTGTAGGCATAAGAGGTATTGTACTGGTTTAGTGACCCAATTCCGACTGGTGTGGTGCCAGGCTGAGGGGTTGGAGCTGAAGGCACCACAGGAAAGTCAGACACGGCACATGCAATCAACGCTATTCCATGAATCCGGTGTGATTTGAATTGTACCCTCCTTTGCACTATATCATTTTATGATACTTTGTGCACTGAGCGAAGAAAGGTCTTTATTTGTTTGTTTGTTTGTTTGTCTATTTATTTGCACTTTTGATCTCTGCTGAGTAGTGTCCGCAACTCGCAAACTTGATCCTTGCACCATTTCGTGCTTAGTCATTCGACATGTGTGCTGTTAAATGTAGCATGCACAATATTGGTCGTTCTCTGTTCGTGTTAAGCGAATTTGGTGGGGAGCGGGCGGCGTGAACGGCCTCACAGACATGGAACGCCGCCTATCAGACCCCTGCCGAGCTGCCAAGCGCCCACAATGTGGCTCCGGGGGCGGAGATGGAGCTGTGCATCACATACACACATTTCCTAATGATGGTGCTTTCGTGCAGCTCAGCATCAAAATTTAGCACAGACATTAACAAATTTTAATGAATCCAAGACAACCACAATATTACTCCAGGTCCCCTCGGTTCTCAATTATCCATGTCCAACCCTAACCATAATCATAGTCTGCTAGATCAAACATTTTTCAAATCACATTTTACATTTGTAAGATATTTTAGTAGCGAATTGCACGATGAATATTAAATGAAGTAAAGCCTCAGGTAGTATGTCAAGAAAAACATGCATTTCTAATTGCTATAATGAGGATAAGGCGGTTCATATGATGGATGGATGGATGGATGAATGGACTCAAATGTATTCTCACCTATGGCTGAGCAGTTGAAAGGGTTTGCTTTGAAATAAATTATTCAAATTTTAACATACACTATCTCCTTTTTTCCACGACCACGCCTGCTTTTTCTTCATATGCTACTCAGTTATGAGCCTCAGGTGGAGGGAATTGATGATATCAGGAGAACAAAGGAAATCAAGAAAATAAACGCTGAACTGCTGAAGCAACTACAAGAGCTAGACACTGACATAATCTTCTCCACTGGTTTGTACCCCTTCATTTTTTCAAATCATCAGTAAAATGAAAATGGCTTAATTGATTCGCATTTAAACCTTTCGTTTTTATATATTATTTATATATTTATTTCCTAGGCCCAGAGTTTGCCAAAGAGGAGGACTGCATCTTTATAAGCATGGTGGCTGATGACATTGATGTTTCAGAGCTCATGGAAACAATACTGACGCTAGGCCGCGACATTGAAGAGAATGGAAGAGTAATTTGCATTCTGTTATTTTCATCTGTTCACTCTGTCATATGAGTATATTATTAGCAGAGTCATTAAAAGTGCAACGGCCAATGCACAAACCTAATTCCAATGAAGTTGGGATGTTATGTAAACATAAAATGCATATAGTGATTTGCAAATGAGGTTCAAGCTATATTTAATTGAATACACGACAAAGACAAGATATTTAATGTTCAAACTGATAAACTCAATTGTTTTTAGCAAATAAGCATTAACTTAGAATTTTATGGCTGCAACATGTTCCAAAAAAGCCGTGACAAGGTTTACCACTGTGTTGTCGGTCGACTTTTTTTCCCATTTTTGGTGTCCAACAGTTTGGGGTCTCTGTTGTCATTTTATGCTTCATAATACGCCACACATTTTCAATGGGAAACAGGTGTAGACTGAAGGCAGGCCAGCCAAGTACCTGCACTCTTTTACTATGAAGCCACACTGTTGTAACACGTGCAAAATTTGGCATTGTCTTGCGAAAATAAGCGAGGGTGTTCATGAAAAAGATGTATTTTCATGCATTAATGATGCCTTCACAGATGTGTGAGTTCCCAATGCCATTGGCACTACCATAGCCCCAGCCTAAGAGATGCTGGCTTTTGAACTTTGCATCCCAAACATGCCTGGTGATTCCTTTCCTCATTGGCCTGGAGGACATGATGCCCACAATTTCCATAAACAATTTGAAAAGTTGACTCGACAGACCATGTACATTTTTTTTCCACTTTGCACCAGTCAATCTTAGATGAGCTCTGGCCCAGAGAAGCCGGTGGCATTTCTGGGTGTTGTTGATTAATGGATTTTGCTTTGCATAGTATAGTTTTAAGTTGCACTTACGGATGTAGTGCCGAACTGTATTTACTGACATTGCTTTTCTGTAGTGTTCCTGAGCCCATGTGGTGATGTCCTTTACACATTAATGTCGGTTTTTGATGCAGTGTTGCCTGAGTGATCGAAGGTCACAGACATTCAGTGTTGGTTTTCGGCCTTGCCGTTTACATGCAGTGGTTTCTGCTGAATCTTTTGATATTATTGACCATCGATGATGAAATCCATTAATTCCTTGCAGTTGTATATTGACGAACATTGGCCATAATCTGTTTTGACTATTTTCGCATGCACTTGTTCATAAAGTGGTGAACCTTGCCCCATCTTTGCTTGTGAATGACTGAGCAATTCAGGGAATCTCCTTTTATCCCCAATCATGGCACCCACCTTTTACCAGTTAGCCTGTACGCCTGTGGGATGTTCCAAACTCGTGTTCGATGAGCATTTGTCAACTTTGAGTGTTTTTTGCCACCTGTTGCATCTTTTTTGGAATGTGTTGAAGCCATAAAATTCGAAGCTAATGATTTACTAAAAACAATAGGGTTGATCAGTTTGAACATTAAATATCTTGTCTTTGTAGTGTATTCAATCAAATATTAGTTGAACATGATTTGTAAATCACTATATTGTGTTTTTATTCATGTTAAACACAACATGCCAACTTCATTGGAATTAGGTTTGCAGATAGTACAATAATAATTTTTAGTTTTCCAGAACTTGAAATTGGTCTTTTGGAACCATATTTTTGATGCACAGACAGGGCTAGGGATGGAAATTGAAAACTGGTTCTTGTTGAGAACCTGCTTTCAGAGTTTCAATTCCTTGGGACCGTTTGATAATTTAGAGTTGTTTCCAATGTAGCTACTGGAGAACATGACGGAGGTGGTGAGGAAAGGCATTCGGGAGGCAGAACTGGAGCTCTTAAAAGCCAATGATGAGAAACTCATGGAAGAAGTAAGTGAATTTGGGTTGCATGAAACTCAACCTACAAACATAGACATTTGATTTATTTTAGAATCAGAATGACTTGTAGCGTTAGTAATTAAGCTTTCCCAAAAAGGAGAAATGCTACTACTAGTGTGAAGAAAACAATTGTCTTATTTTTGGGTTTTTTTTTTTTGTTTTTTTCTAAGGGCATGTTGAGACAGCTTCCTTTGGTTGGCTCTGTTTTAAACTGGTTCTCTCCTGTACAAACTTCAATTAAAGGGAGGACCTTCAGCCTGGCGGCAGGTTTGTGTACGCATGTGTATTTTCAATATCAATTTGTCAACAGAGCCTCTGTTTTTTTGTTGTCATTGTTTTTTGTCCTCATAAATGATTTAAATGCTCACATATAGCCCACAATACATTTTCTATTTCACCTGGTTTTATTTGCTTGTACTGTTTTAAGTTGAATTTCCGGGGATAAAAACCATATGCAGATAAGTAAATAGACAAGGCTTGGGCTGCAGCTAGGATAAAGTTGAAGAGACATTACACTGATAGAACATAAAATCTTGCAAGATCCTGTTGTGTAGTGGTCGATGGTCTGTGTTTGGCTGGGAACCACTTCAGCGTGTACTGCTTGAAGACAGCTGGGGTAGTCCACAGCATGCCCTCGACCCTCATAAGGGAGGGAAGGATTAGGTCAGGGGTGTCAAACATACGACCCACGAGCCGGAACCGGCCCCCAAGGAGGTTCGATCAGGCCCGCGGGATAATTTAAAAGTGAAAAAATGCATAAAAGATGCGGAATTAATATTTTAATAAGGTGCAATTCATGGAGTATCCGCTAGGGGAGTATGTTTTGATCAGAGTAGAAGACAACATTGTTTTGATCAGAGAAGACAACAGCAGTCTCAGTCTGTCACTTAGACAGACCCAACACAGCAGACGCTACCAAGGATGTGGATACTTTATTCTTTACACATTTAATTGGACTCTCCTTAATTTGTAGGGAAGGATTAAATTTAGATTTTATATGCACATGTAAAATGGTTTAAAAATTCCTTTCTTTATAAATCTCATTTCACCTTAAAGTGCATTACTATATTTTTCAATACCAATTACCGTAAATTCTGGATTAGAAGCCGCTACTTTTTTTCCACACTTCCAACACTGCAGCGTGTAATATGAAGCGGGTTTTTAATTTTTTTTTTTTTTTCCATCGCGGGAAATACATGGACCAATAAAATGAATGAGTAGTTCACTGAGGTCCAATGAGATTGTATGACAAATCACAACTTCCGCTGTTTTTGCCGTAGCGGGGGGAAAAATGTGTTACTCGGCAACAGTCGACCAATAAAATGAATGAGTAGTACACAGGGGTCCAATGAAATTGTATGATTACCGGTAATCACAACTTCCTTATTTCAGTCTTTCTTCTAACCCTGATCAACATGGAGAATACCAGACGAAAAGCATATGATGCAGATTTTAAACTAAAAGCGATCACTCTGGCAGTTAAGGAAGGAAATCGAGCTGCTGCCCGTAACGCGTAGAAAAAAAAGTAGTGTGTTTCCGGTAACCCGACCGACCGAGAATTTCTACGTCGAAAAATTTTTTATGGTCGGCATTTTTTTCAAACAACCCTCTACATTTTTGTGTAGAGGGTTCACATCGGTGCAAACTCTCGCGATATTCACGTTGAGCGCGTGCGTCG